GCAAGAGCTCCCTTTTTAAAGAGATTAATTTAATTAATGTTACTATATCCTAGGGGGTCCCTCTCCCGCCTGTTGCATAGAAAGGGAGAATTAGACATAGCATGCTTTTGGAAAGCAAATAGGAATTGTTTGGAATGATTTAATCTTTTGTTGTTGTTGTTTGCTTGTGGCTCTACATTCCTGGTGAATGATGAATGTTGCCATTATAAAAGGCTATCTGTCCTCTACCCTACAGGGCATTTGATGGCAGGAAGATTAAGTTAGACTGAAGTTGGGTTTAAAACTTAGTCCAGTGAACCTGATGATAAAGTCAAGAAAAACGTTCACTGTTGTAAATAAGACTGGTTTGGAATAGTGATGTTAGAGTCATCCTAATTTATGAACAAGAGGTTAATCTCTTCATGCATAGTTTTAGACAAAAAAGGTTTCAATAAAAGATTGCTGTCTTGTAATATAAATGTTTTCTACTTCAGTTTTTCACAGGCCTAGAATAGTTAAAAGGAACATTTATTTAGGCTATTACATAATATGAACTGGGCCAAAAATTTTAGTTCATCCTGTAATGAATTAGAGGATTTGGCTACTTTAGGTATATTTATATTCATTTCTTCAATTCCCCTTAATGTTTCTTGATCTTCTTGTAAAAGCTAATGTGAACAGTAGGGAAACAAGGGCCCAAATGCATACGTTTCTTTGCACTTTTGCACCATTCCACCTACTTAATACAATAAACATTTGAAAAGCTTTTGTAGTAAGTTTTTATGAATTAACAGTCTAATGAGGTATCAGGTAATCTACTGTCATGGAAAAAATGGAGATTTGCAAGAAGACTGGAGACTGGATGAGGATTGGTTGAGGGGTGGAACAGGATTGATGGGTGCTCCCTTTCTTTGAAAAACAGGGCAAAGGCATTGGGGTGGCACAGTGGCCTAAACAGCAGCCTCAGAGATGATTCCCTGATTCTGGTCACTGTCCTTTTAGCTCCAAATCACAGTTGACTTTGCTATATCATTAGTAACACTGCAGGCAAGAAAAAAGTATTGATTGCATAAAATATTCTAATTTGGGGTAAAATAAAGTGACTAGTTCTATTCTGTAATTCTGTGTGCTAGCGGTGATTATAGTGGTGATCAAGGAGCGCTAACAGGAATTTGGCTAGAATTGGTGGCAGTTGCCAAAAAGATTCTGTTGATGGTCCTGATATACCTGTTTCACAGAATCTTCCTTATCTCTGCCTTGATTACCTTTGGGGGCACCATGGTCTAGGACAGTGGTTCTTAACCATGAAAACACATTAGAAACTTTTAAAAAATACTGATACCTTGGCCTCTCCTGCAAGATTCTAATTTCATTAGTCTGGAGTGTCGCTTGGACACATGAATTCTTTTTTTTCTTTTTCTTCAGTACTAGGGATCGAACTCGGGACCTTGAGCTTGCGAGGCAGTTGCAGCGCCACTGAGCTAAATCCCAGGCCCTTGGACATATGATTCTCTTAAAGCCCCAGGTGATTCTTACACACAGTCTTGGTTGAGAACTATTAGTATGGATGCCAAATACTCCTGGAGTGCAAAAGACCTAGGGGATTGAGTTGGGGATTTAGTTCAGTGGTTCCGACACCTGCCTCACAAGCACAAGGTCCTGAGTTTGATCCCCAGTATCCAAAAAAAAAAAAGACCTAGATGATCTTAGCTCTGCCGTTAACTTGCTGAGAATATTTAGAGAAGTCACTTAACCTGTAGGTCCCAAATTTTCTCAGTAACTCTTTTCTAGCTATAGAATTCTTCGACTCTAAAGATATCAGAGATTTTTAGTCTGACCATATAAATTGTATGTTTGGCTCTATATTCTTTGCCTTTTCTCATCTCCTATTTCCTTGATTGAATTTGTTCTAGGAGTAATGTGAATGCTCTAGCAGTCTTTTCAAATTAATTAAAATTGTACTGTAGAATGTAATGGGGATTGAACCTCTCGTTGAGCTTTAGCACCAGCCCTTTTTACGTTTATTTTGATACATGGTCTCTCTAAGTTGTTCAGGCTGACCTCGAACTCGTCATCTTCTTGCCGTCTCTGAGTAGCTTCAATTACAGGTGTGTGCCACAACACCCAGCCAGACTTTTTAATGTTTTTTTTTTCTTTCTCTCTTTCTTTCTCTTTCTTTTTCTTTCTTTTTCTTTCTTTCTTTCTTTCTTTCTTTCTTTTTGTACAGAGGCTTGAATCTAGTGCTGTCCTGCTGAATTACATTTTCAGCCCTCTTTTTATTTTTTATTTGGAGACATGGTCTTGCTAAGTTCCTCAGGCTGATCTTGAACTTGTGGTCTTCCTGCCTCAGCCTCCCAGAGTGCTGAGATTATAACCACCATGCCTAGCTCAGACTTCATTTTTAAATCTCTTAGTTGGCAAAATAAAATTTGACACCCCTTACATTATTTCTTTTTCTGGCCCATGACATCTCTAAAATTTATTAACCATTCATCTAGATTAGCCTCATTATTTTACAGCAAAAGAAACAAGGCAAGAATGGCAGTCTCATACAGGAATTTAAAGGTTTAGGGAGGTACACTGCATGTGAATGGTCGTTTGTACACTATTTGAGCCCTTACTCCCAGCAGGCTACTATGTTAAAAGTTCTGTATTTATTATCTCATACTCATAAAGCCATCTAGGAGATGTATTTTTCTTCTTTCTCTTTTTAATGGATCAGGAAGCAGAGCCATAATAAGTAACCTGTCCATGGTCACACAACTTATTAGTGATGGAGCCAGGATTTGATCTCAAGCACATGCACTTCAAAACCACATTTTTAGACACTATACACCATGTCCATACATCATGGATACAAAATGTCCTGCTTACTACCTCTGCCAGGAAGCTTTCCCTAAAAATCTGGAGAAGTGGCAATTTCTACCCAACTTTTTTTGGGGGGGGGATTGAACTCAGGACCTTGCACTTGCAAGGCAGCGGAACCACTGAGCTAAATCCCTGGCCATTGCCCAACTTTTAATGAACATCTTTTCTTCCATCTGCACCTGTACACTTACTTGCTAAAAAGCCTCCTGTGGCCAGGCATCGTGGTACATGCCTATAATTCCAGCACTTAGGAGGCTGAAGCAGGGTTGCCATGAGTTCAAGGTCAGCCTGGGCTACATAGTGAGTTCAAGGCTAGCCTGAACTACATAACCAGACCTTGTCTCAAACAAACAAACCCCAGAAGCCTCCTATGTATATTATCTGAAAACACAGTTTTATTCAGTGTCTGTCTGATCATTTATAAATCATAACGAAGATATTTTAAGAAAGTTTTTTGATATTTATATGTTCCTAATGGATTTAAATTCTATTCTAAGGAAATCTGTCAAAGATTAAAAGGTTAACTTCTCTTTGTTGAGATACCAGAATCTAAGGCAGCTAGCCAAGTAGTCTCCATTTCAGAAGGTTAAGGGCCTACATCGCTGCCCTTGTTTGCTGGCCTATACTGACATCGTTGGTACCTCAAAATATCAGCTGTCTGAAAACAGGGAACATGGCTGAGGAGTAAAGGATTATAACAGTAAAAATGTAGCTTTTAAACTGGTTATGGTGGTGCATGCCTGTAGTTCTAGCACTCGGGAGCCTGAGTCAGGAGGATGGCTGTGAGTTCGAGGTCAGCCTAAACTACATAGTGAGATCCTGTCTTAAAAAACAAAAAGTGCTGGGCATGGTGGTGCACGCCTGTAATCCCAGCAATCAGGAGGCTGAGGAAAGAGGATCATCATGAGTTCAAGGCTAGCTGGGGCTACATAGCAAGACCCTGTCTCAAAAAAAAAAGTGTAGCTTTTAGGGTTACTAGTTGTATGGATGACACTAGAAGGATCACAAATTGAAAGGCAAAATAAACATAAGATTTAATCAGGCCGCTGGTAGCTAGAAATGGCTTTAACACCACTAGTGCCTGCAAGGAACTCAAAGGCCCACACAATCTCTATATGTAACAGTATCTTACTCTTTTCTGTTACCCTCAAACACTTTGAGAGTATTTCATTGTTTCTAAAAAATAACCGTCCTTGTGCTGAAAGGAAGGAGCCATACCTTATTTGTTTTCTTAAAATCAAGTTTAGAATTAGGGAGGAGGAGGTGGTGATGCACACCTGTAATCCCAGCAGGATGGCTGAGAGTTCAAAAGCCAGCCTGAGCTATATAGTGTGACCTTGTCTAAAAAATTTTTTAAAAGCTGCAGGTCAGATAATCCTCCCAGGTTTTCTGCAAAATGAAAAAGGAGTATCAGTTGCATGCATGCAAATATGGTTGTATTAACATAAAAATGTGAGGCAGTGTGATTAATGAGTATGGCCTTTGTCTTTTCACAGACTCAGGTTTTAATAACACCCACTTGTTGCAGGGTGAAGCTGGGCAACTCATGTCTCAGACTTTCCTCAAGGGTCATAATTGCTATTTTGAGCATTGTGAGTATCAAATGAGATGATCCATGTGAAATACATAACTGCTGCGTGTGGCGGTGAATGCCTGCAATCCCACACTTGGGGGCCTGAGGCAGAAGGAGCACTGCAAGTTTGGGGCCAGCCAGAGCTACACAGTGAGTTCAAGGCCAGCCTCAATTAGAGTGAGACTTTGACTCAAAAAAACCAAAACAAAACCAAAACCAAAAAAAATCGCCCAGATACGTACACCTCCAGAGACAAAGTCATTATAACCAGAGGCCCTGCTAGTGGCCTAGGACAAGACTGCAGTCCCAATACTGCCTTGCACAGTTGTCACTATGACCAAAAATCAAGGGGCCACAACTTCACCATCTGGCCTATGCACAGTGAAGATCTGTACACCTGTCTTCAAACTGGATATGATCATAAGGAGAGTAGAGTAGTCGTAATGCACATAGCCCTCAGATTTTATATATATATTTGGTACCGGGGATCGAACTCGGGTCCTTATGCTTGCGAGGCAAGCAGTGGAACCACTGAGCTAAATCCCCGGCCCAAGGCCCAGATATTATAAAGGGTAGGTGAGTAGAATGCAGCTTTCCGGAGGAGGAGAGGGAGAGGAGAAACAGAATGAGTTAACTTCAATCCCCTGAGTTTTGGCCTCTAGTTTTTCTCTAGATTGAAGGCAAAAGGCTGACAGTGCAAACCCTGGGGAACCGTAGGGGAAGACTAACATCCCTCCCTACATGCTCCTTTTCCTCTGACACCTTTCAGGCAAGAAAAACCCTTAACCTCTGCAAGGTCCCAGAAGCCAACGCTGACTAAAAACCAGTTTAAAGTCAGCCGCGGAGCGCCAGTAGAGGCACCGCCCCGCAGGCATCTGTGCATGCACATGCGCGTGCGCAAAGGCTCCTGGGAAGCCGCCTCTTCTCCCGGTCTTCCAGTTTCCCGGCGTGCTTCGGGCCCGCCAAATGGGAGGGGGAGACTCAAGATGGCGGTAGCCGTGAACTCCGGCTCTAGCCTCCCGCTTTTCGACTGCCCGACCTGGTGAGTGGCGACGGGGCGGTCGGGACTGAGTGGCCTGGTTTTAGCTAGTCTGACCTGGAAGCGCAGCTCATTTTTCGCTTAAAGACCGTGGAATGGTTGAGGGAAAACTCCGCTGTGAGGGGCTGGGAGACGTGTGGAGAAGCTGGGAGCCTGGAGCCGGGGCCCAGAAATTGAGAAAGCTCGGAGTTGGGCGCTCAAAAGAACTCATTTAGGCAGCCGTTTGGGGGATCAGCTGCCCTGTGGGGTGCTTCGGGGCCTTGGCCCCGAACTTACCCCAACTCCTGACTGCCTGGTGCTCTCGCGGTGCACTGCGTCCCTGCTGCACGTCCCGAGCGCAAACAAGCCGGCTTCCCGACCCCAGTCCAACCTCAGAATCCTGCATCCCGCTCCCGTTGCCGCATGTCGCATGTGGTACTTGCCTGTCTCCGCAGACTAGTAGCTCCTTGAGGGCAGGGCTGGCGCTGACCTACCGCCTTATTCTCAATGACCAGCCTGAAGCCTGGCAAAATGGCATCAGTAGTTGTTGGAATAAACCCTTTGCATCTCTTAGGAAGTTCTTAGGAATAGTGGGATAATTTAATTCAGTCTTTGAGTAGGCTACAAGATGAATAAGTATGAATTGACTTGCAGGGAGATGCATCCTAGTTAGAGCTTCTGCTATTAACAGTCTATTAACATGTAACTTGTCTCTGTCTCCCATTATATTAAGATCTTCAAGGGCAAAGACCGTTGTATCTTTGTATTCTCTGCTTCTCCCCCTGAGCCGGGCAGGCGCATATTAGGAGTTTGGAAAGTATGTTTTGGATAAACATTCCTTTCCCTGTTTCTGGGCTAAATGAGCTTTTGTCCAATGCACTGCCACGGAAAGGTTGGAGCAGGATTGTGAGATAACTGTGTTGCATCTTCAGTTAGGATACATTTTTTTTTTCATGTGCAAATGTAGGGGCTGAAGCATCAAATAAGCAAACCTAGGAAACAAGTGTGGCTATTTTTAGGGTTCCTTTACACTTTTGTGACATAAAAATTGCTTCAGTTTACAAATTCTATGTCCAGTTTACTTCCTAGCTCAATCGGTTTCAAATTTAGGTCAGGACAGTAAACATAGGAAGAGACTCTTTGAGATCAACTACCGTTTCCCCAGATTCTGTTGGGTACCAGGCATATGTGTATCTTCCTTGAAAGATAAGCCAGAATATAGAGAGGTTTGCTTAATCATGCTGTTGTAGAGAGACCTGTTTAAGGAAAACATTCCTCCTGTATTCATTTGGGACATGATTTTGAGTTCCCCAGTTCCCTAATTATACATCTCTGATTTGTTTGTAAGAGGTTCAGGACCATCTCTTTGAAGTAGAGTTCACACCAAAACCTTCTGCTTATTTTGTGATGAGATTACTTTTGACCAGCCTAAAACACCAACTGGTTTTTTCTACCTTTATATAATATTGGGGTAGTAGCAAATTTAGATTTAAACTCCAGATGACCAGACTATCCCAACTATAGTACTTGCAAACATTATGCAGCTTTCTCTCAGAAGTGAGTATCCAGTTCAAATAATAGATTTCTTTGGTGCTTCTCTAAATACAGATCCACTAAAATCTGTTTTAGAGCAGTTGAATCCCTTGGGAAGTGTCAAACGTAGAAAAGAGCTATAATGGTGAAATAGATGACATTTCTGTGTGAACATGAACTAATTATAGGCTGATGGGAGAGCTGCAGTGTTGAATGGAACAATGATTGCAAATAACACTTATACACTCATTCTGAAAATGCTTTTTTCACTGTTCTTTCTCAGGGCAGGTAAACCCCCACCTGGTTTACATCTGGACGTAGTCAAAGGAGACAAACTAATTGAGGTATGGAAATACATATCTTCCCATTTTTCTCCCCATTCTAAAGTTTTTCCCAGTGACTCACTTTTCCACCCCCTCCAGTGCTTTGTTTTCTAGCAATGCTACTTTTGTTCATCCTGGTTTTTTTTCTATTAAAAGCTCATGATGATATAACACATTCAGGGCTCATATCTCCCATAGACACTCAGTTTTTTTGTGACTTCTCTCACCTTCCAAATGAAGAATTTTTAATAGGTCATGGTTTCATGGTCCCCACACTGGAAGCTCTTTAACTTGATGAATTTCCTCTCCAAGTATGTGGAATTGGTTCCATGGATGGCATAAGGTATGCAATACCTGATGAAAAAGAATTATGTAGATTGAGCTTGACTTTTAAGTTGCTTCTAAGAAATTTAAGTCTATCTCATTCAAGTATGGTAAACTAAGCCACTTACTCAAAAAAAATATTATAGTGGTAAAATTCATTCATTTATTGAAAACATTTATTGTGCTAGTCAACTCAGCAGAGGAGGTTACAACACAGGGCAAAACATGGTTCCTGTCCTCAAGTCATCCAATAGAGAGACAGAATTAAATAATTAAAATTGAAATAAATACTATAAAGGAAAAGTTTAGCAGAATTCCAGGTTTTATACAGTCCTTTAGAGTAAATACCATGTGAAATTTCAGGAGAACATGAATTTTTTTTTTTTTTTTGGTACTGGGGATCGAACTTGAGACCTTAAGCTTGCGAGGCAGGTGTGGGAACCACTGAACTAAATCCCCAGGCCGAGAACATGGATATTGATTAGCTATTACATTGTGTAAGTTTTTATTTATTTGTTTTGAGACAGGGTCTTGCTGTGTAGTCCAGGCTGGTCTTGGACTCACTGTGTAGCCCAGGCTGGACTCGAACTCATGGCAATCCTCTTGCCTCAGCCTCCTGAGTGCTGGGATTACAGGCATGTACTACTGTGCCTGGCTGGAGTTTTTATTCAGATTGTATTTTTCAGGGTTGTTTTGGGGTTTTTTTGTTTTTCGTTTTCTGAGACAGTGCCACTCTGTAGTTCAGGCTGGTCTTGAACTCACTATGTAGCCCAAGCTGAGCTTGAACTTGTAGTGATCCTTCTGCCTCAGCCTCCCAAGTGCTGGGAGTACAGGTGTGCACCACCACGCCGGGCTTTGTTTCTGTTTTTTAGGTACTAGGGATGGAACCCAGGGCTCTTTCCGAGTTTAGTTTATTTTTTGTTTGTTTGCTTTTTTGGTACCGGGGATTGAACTCGGGACCTTGTACTTGTGAGGCAGGTGGCGGCACCACTGAGCTAAATCCCTGGCTCTTTCTGAGTTTAAAACAAACAAAGAAACAAAACCCATATTGAATTATTTAGTTATCAAGAAATGAAAAAAAAAAAGAAATGAAGATTAAGCTCTCTGGTTGCTCAACTAGAATTTAGGTTCCAAGCTCTATTATTGAATGCAGTTTTTATTTGATGTATATAATAAAATTATTTGCATTATTGCTAGCTTGAAAAGCAAGTGAAATCTGCTAAAGGATCCCATGTAAACGTATTGTTGTCACTTTTAGGATGTTATAGAGATAACCAGGTATTTTGCAAAATATGAAGCCATGCATGAGTTATGATTCTCCTGTTATTAATTCAGGAGAATTCATTATGCTCTCCTTTTTAATTCATTATGCTCTCAGCTAATCACACAGAGCCCCTTTGTCACAGGTTCTCATTAAATCCAGAACCTTTCCATTGAGCTGTATCTCCAACCCCTTTATTTTTTAATTGTTTTTTGGTTTTTTGTACCGGGGATCAAACTCAGGACCTTGCACTTGCGAGGCAGGCAGTGGAACCACTGAGCTAAATCCCTGGCCCTATTTTTTAATTTTTTAACAGGATCTATCTAAGTTGGGATTCAAACTACCAGCCATCCCACTTCAGCCTCCCAAAGTGCTGGCATCACAGATGTGTGCCACTGTACCAGGCTGTGTTCTTTGACCTTAAAGATACTCAGAATATCAAGATTATTCAAGGAAGGGCCAGGGATTTAGCTCAGTGGTTTGACCACCTGCCTCACAAGTGGAAGGACCCGAGTTCAGTCCCTGGTACCAAAAAAAAAAAAAGATTATTCAAGGAAGACCAGGCTTGGTGGCTCATGCCTCTAATCCTAGCACTTGGGAGGCTGAGGCAGGAGGATCACCATGAGTTTGAGGCCTGCCTGAACTATATAGCGAGACCTTGTCTCAAAAAAAAAAAAAGATTATTCAAGGGAATAATTTAAAATATTTGTAAAAACTCTTACTATAGATGGTTCCACAAATACAGAATAGTTGTTGTTAAATAGAACAGCATGAAGCTTGAAGACATGGAAATCTATTTCATTATTAGAATTTAATCTTTAGTTTGTAATAGGAAGAAACAGGCAAGGTGGCCTATCCTTAATAATAGCATCATGTTATTTTGTGAAAATTTTATATTTTCAAAGCACTCTAACTTGTCCAGCACTCCTCTGATTACTGCTTACCATTAGCTGGTAATGTTCTCTTTCAGTGTTCTGAGTGTGTGTAGTTACTACACAGTTGTCAGATTGCACACCTGAAACATCACTATATTGTTTTTCAGAGGAATAGACCTGAGAGGGATGTGTGTGTATGTGTGTGGTTTTTGCAGTGCTAAGGAATGAATCTAGGGCCTCAGGCATGCTAGGCAAATGCTGTACCACTGAGCTATATCCCCAGCCCAGTGTGCTTTTGTTCTTAAGGATTTAGACTTGATCAGCTGCACTTGATACTAACCAAGCTATCTATATCCTGGCCTTATATCAAAAGCTTGTGATATGTTGTGATAGTTGGGTTGAAGAAGTGCAATATTAAAACAGAAGCCATGAGATCATTAAGCCCATTGTGTAAAGATGCACTCTGAGTTATAACTCAAAGGCACAACTGAATAGTTGTATTAGCCTTAGCTAGTCAAGAAGTATAACCTTAAAAGTGACTATGGTGCCAGGCATGGTGGTGCATGCCTGTAATCCCAGCACTCTGGAGGCTGAGGCAGGAGGATTGCTGTGAGTTTGAGTCCAGCCTGGGCTACATCATAAGTTCAAGGTCAGCCTGAACTACATAGGGACATCCTGTCTCAAAAATCCAAAAAAGGCCTGGGGATTTAGCTCAGTGGTTTCGCCGCCTGCTGCGCAAGTGCAAGGACCCGAGTTCAATCCCTGGTACCAAAAAAAAAAAATAGTGACTATGGGAAGATCAATGCATTATTTTATTAACTTGTTAGCACATTTTCTGAATTTGAAGACATATTGTTTTCCACTAAAATTCTATAATTTTAACATTTCTTTAATTGGGATGCCTTTGTTAAGCCCTTTCTTTGTCTTTTTTTTTTTTTTTTGGTATCAGAGATTGAACTCAGGACCTTGCGCTTACGAAGCAGGTGGTGGAACCACTGAGCTAAATCCCCAGCCCCTTTCTTTGTCTTTTATTCCCTCAAATTCCTCAATCTCTGGTATAGCCCTGGTACCCTAGAATCATAGAAATCTGATCATTGTTATATTAGAATGTAAGAGCTGATGGTCTTATATATTCCTTGTCACCCAAATTTAACACAAATTTAAGTTTGTGAAAACATAATCTGCATTTTAATATGAATGAGAAATGCAGTGAGATTCAGATTGAATAAATATTACCAAGAGAGGCATCCGTGGCCTGAAGCAGCACAGGCCTGCTCTGTAGCACATTAAGACAGTTTAGGTGGAGCCAGAAGGAAAAAATAAAAATAAATATTACCAAGAAAGCACAAGATGTTGAAATTTCAGGGCTGTCTTATAACTTGAAAGCAGTGTCGTATTTTTAACTGAAGTTTTAAAACTTAGGTCATTGCAAACATGCGGGTAACTGAGCTGCCAGGCTGTTAAGTCCTGGTGCTCTGTAATAGTTTGGGTCTGCAACAAGCTTTATCAGCACAGATGGGGACTGTTGTTCAGGTTTTCCCAGAGGTGACCCACATACCCAAGCTAGCTTGAACTGATTGAACCTTTAAGTTCAGCTTGAAAGAAACTGGGTAAGTGGTTATTTAAAGAAAAATTAAGTGTGACCCACAGTTCTTATTTGCTCTTTAAAATATGCCTTGCCATATGGTACATCTTTTGATGTAAGTGAAATGAGGAAAATACATAATGTAGTGGTTAAAAGAGCTTAGACTCTGAAGTCAAGGAAATCTGAATTTTTTTTTAAAATCTGAATTTTTAAACCCAGCCCACAGATAGCTCCATAAACTTGAGTCAGTTAATTAATTTCTTTATGCTTCAACTTTGTCACCTATAAAAATAGTAAGGATAGTTCCTACCTACCTCATTTGGTGGTTGTCCTCACATGAAATGACATAGCATAAAATTCATAGCACGGTGTATGACATATAAGTGCTCAGCAGTTTTTTTTGTTAGTACTGAGTCTCTTTGCATGAGGTGTGAGGACTAAAGCATAGGGGAGGATAGAGTAGCCTCCTGTGAGTTGAAGACCTACCCAGGGATAGAGGCATGTTGATTCCTAGCCTGTTACTAATTTGACTATTCTCAACTTTGTGCTGTCTTTTCACAGGGATTCCATTTTATTTTATTTGGTATCAGGGATCAAACTCAGGACCTTAGGCTTGCGAGGCAGGAGGTGAAACCACTGAGCTAAATCCCTGGCCCCTTCACAGGGATTTTAGAAAGTGAAGTATAGTGTGAAATGTGAACTAGAACTTAACATGACTTGTGTTTCAAGGAAAAAGACAGTGTATGTGGATGAAGGTTATTCTTTAAGTGACCAAACTAGATTATTAGATATAGCAATGGTGTAGACTGCAAGAAGTAGAAGTTTTAGTAATATTTTGCCTAGTCCTTCATCTATGACAGTCTGGTTACAACCAGACTGTGGCAAAGGCTTTATTGATCCAGAATTAAAAGAAATAAAAGGACAAGGTGGTGAGTTTTTCATAAAGCTAAATTCAGCTCAAAGAATGGTCTTTCGGTCTGGGTATGGTGGGACGTACCTCTAATCCTAGCACTTTGAGAAACTAAGTCAGGAGAAGATCACAGGTTCAAGCCCAGCCTAGGCAACTTAGCAAGACCCTTTGTGACAATAAAAAAAAGGCCTGGGGTTGCAGTTGAGTGCTGAGGCCCTGAGTTCAATCCCCAGTACTGTGGGGGAGGGGGAGTGATCCTTTCATCCTTCATCCTTGCTCTTCCTACTCATTTGTTGATAAAATGACCTTTCTTGTATAGAATGATGGTGATACTAATCTATGACAGGGGTTTTTTGTGTGTGTGGGTTTTTTGTTTGTTTGTTTGTTGTTTTATTTTTGAGCCAGGGTCTTGCTATGGCTTTGAATTCACTATGTAGTCCAGGCTGGCCTCGAACTTGTGGCAGTCCTCCTGCCTCAGCCCCCCAACTGCTAGGACGCAGGCATGCGCCACGACACCCAGCCTTGTGACAGTTTGTTTTGTTCTAATGTCCTGGTGCTCGGGGTATAGCATAGTGGTAGAGTGCTTACCTAGCAAGGCCCTGGGTTTGATCCCCAGCACTACCAAAACAGTTTCTCATTTAGGCAAAATGAAGAGTTAACACTCTTATGTCAAGCCCTTCTCCAGTTTTTAAGCAGCAATTTGCCGGCCTGTGAAAACCCCTATTCTGCTGTTATATTGAAGCATTTTATAGATTGTTCAGGGCTTTTTTAGGGGGGGTTGGTACTGGATGTGGAACCCAGAGCCTCATGCATGCTAGGCAAGTTCATCACTGAGCTATATTCCCTCATTTTCAGCATTTTTTACTGTTAGTCAGGGTCTTGCTGAGATGCTCATGTTTGCCTGGAGCTTATGATTCTCCCGCCTCAGCCTCCCAAGTAGCTGGCATTCTAGGCATGTACTACCACACTTAGAGATATCAGGTTTTTAATTTTTTTTTTCCTGCCAATACACAGTAACATCTGAAAACATTTGGCATTCTTTTAGAATCATTCCAGATCTGTGGCACCTTGTTTAGAATATTAGCATTGCAAGCCAGTCACACTTGAGTTTAAATCTCAGCTCTGTTGGTTAAACCTGCCAGACCACATTGGATGACTGACTTCATCTCTCTGAATCTATCCTCATCTTTAACAGTAAAGGTGATATGTGGTTCACAGTTTTTTTAGGGATTAGTTTAGATAAGATAGTGTTTAAAATGCCTGATATTCATAGCCCTTTGATAAATGTTAATCCCCCCCCCCAAAAAAAAAAAACCTGGAACGTCTGCCATACGAGGTAGCCCTGTGTTTGGACATAGTACACACTCAGAGTTAACTCAGGATAATACCTTTTTCTGCCAAAGTGAAATGAGACAATAAAGTTGGATTTGGGGCTGATGCATTGATGTCTAGTGTAATATCAGTTCTTGAGAATTCCAAATATATTTTGGGGCTATGGCTACATGATCAGAATACAGATAAATGTTTATGCTCCATTCCTTTTCCACCCAAGTAGTGATCTTCAGTAGAATGTATATTTTCTGAAAAGCAATCTTAATACTTCCTAGACACATTTTGTGCTTCTTATTTCCTGTTTGATCTGAAATTAAGAACTAACAAAACTAAATTTCTGGGCCAGGGATTTAGCTCAGTGGTTTCGCCGCCTGCTGCGCAAGCGCAAGGACCCAGGTTCGATCCCTAGTACCAAAAAAAAACTCCCCCCAAAACTCTTTAAATCTCCAGTAGAAAAAAGACAGCCACTCTTACTAGAATGCTTTATCTCATGGAGACAGGCCACTTACATCTATAAAATTAAGAAAAGTTATTTTCATACCAGCACTATATAGTTGAGCATCATATTTAGGAAGATTAATTGCCATCCATCCCCCAGAAATGTTAGTAAATTATAATCAGGAAAGAAGAATGAAGACACAGAGGTGTAGCTGGGTCTGTGTGTAGAGTATTTCTGAGGTCATCTGCATCTTCTGTCTGAGACAAGATGGTCAGCATCTTGAAAGGAGTGCTTGTAGAGTAGGCAAAGACTTTATTTTCCTGCTCAATAACCTGACCTTAGTTGGTCAACCAGTGTTCCTACAATGAAAGAGTTTTGTTTTGTTTTTTTGGTACCAGAGATCGAACTCGGGACCTTCCACTTGTGAGGCAGGTGGCAGAACCACTGAGCTAAATCCCTGGCCCTAATGAAAGAGTTTTTGCTGAACTTGGATGTGTCTGGTACCCTGTGGAAGTTTATCATTTAAGACATAGATCATATTCAGTTTTTGTAATAGAGCTGTTAATGTCCTTGAGGTGCCGGTAGGTGAACTAAGGGATCAAAATGGTTTTTCTTAATAGATTTTTGACCATTTGGAAATCACATGTAAGGAATGTGAAAGATTGTTGTCATTTGGTATCTAAATATAACTTATTAGACTCAGAAGACTGCTTAGGAATATACTCCAGGAAAGACTATGGGATCATTTCAGAAAACAAGTCCCTGAATGGATTTTATGTGCCCTAGGTATTTTTGTTTTTGTGTCTCTAGGATTGAACCTAGAGCCCTCATGGTGAGCTGTATCCCCAGCCCTTTTAATTTATTTTATTTTAAGACAAAGTCTTGCTAAGTAACAAAGTTCTACAGGCTGGGCTTGAAACTTGCAATCCTCCTGCCTTGGACTCTGAGAGTACTGGAATTACAGGCAAGTGCTACCATGCTTAGTTATAGTTTAAAAAGAACAAGAAAATTTTTTTTCTTCTTGGCAAGAAATTTTAATCTATTCAAGATCTTCTACTTATTTAATTGGAAGGTTTTTATGTGCACTATTGTGATAAAATTTCATATTTAATTTAATATTTATTTAGAAACTGATTATTGATGAGAAGAAGTATTACTTATTTGGGAGAAACCCTGATTTGTGTGACTTTACCATTGATCACCAGTCTTGCTCTCGGGTCCACGCTGCACTGGTTTACCACAAGCATTTGAAGAGAGTTTTCTTGATAGATCTCAACAGTAGTAAGTATCTCTCTCCCATTTTACATGTTGGTGATGGTCAGTATGAAAATGTTCTTTGGGTTCTTAGTTTGGAAAACTTGTTTTATTGCATGTCAAGAGAAAAAATATTTATATTTGATTTTCAAGTCAGGTCTTCACTATTTTGTGGTTTTCCTGAATTAATTGATAACTGTGGAAGGAAGAGGATTTGAGGGAGTACTCTCTTGAGGGAGGTACTAAGTATATCTAGAGAGCAAAACTGGCACCCTGGAATGAGGGAGTGTAAGTACTCAGGTATTTGGGGGCCATGATAATTGTGTTTCAGTTTAAGCAGAAGCCATGATTAACTCCATTGATGTACTAGAGCAGTTGTACAGTACATTTTAAAGATACTTGTTTGAGCGAATTTTAATCTACTATAGTTTCTTTCTCTCAGCTACCTTTTGCTTTGGCTATGAATTATATCAATTTTAATTTCAGGAACTCACTCCATAACAAGGTTTTAAACTTTGCCTAAGATAATTCACAGCTGTACAGTTGAGACTTAACTGTGTGGGCCCCTTAAGTTTGTTCATTTTGCCTATTTATAAATATAGTGTAAAATGCAAGGAAAAGGTCCTGCTTCCTGGCCTCATCACGTGCTAATCCTCTCTCCCAACAACACACACAGACACATACACCTCCCCAGTCTGCTTACATAAAGTACTTGGTGAACCTTGTTGTACAAGTCCTTATCTCTTCTCTCTATTTCACAAAATTCAGAATGCTGACATGGAAAAATGTTCAGAATCTCGTAGAATTTTGGCCTGCCTTGACATTGACAATGTAACTGTTTTGGTCAAGCTGCTTTCTTATCGTGAGGAAAACGTAAGCATAGTTGCCACCAGGTCAGCAATTTTTCTGTTCCTTAGACTTGGACCTGGAGAAGGCAGACAGCAATGCCCATCTCCTGCCTTGAGGGCATGGCTTCTGCTGGGTTGGAGCCAATTCTGCTGGACCCAGAATGGAGTTAAGCCTGTCTTAACAGCAGAGAACAGACAGTGGTGTTTCGTGCTTGGAGGAGCAAGATATCTGAAGATGTATAAGAAATCAACTGGGGGGCTGGGGATTTAGCTCAGTGGTGCCGCTCAGTGCCTTGCAAGCTCAATGTCCTGAATTCAATCCCCAGTACCCCCCTCCAAAAAAAAAATCATCTGAAGAGAGCCGACACACCTGTAATCCTAGCACTCTAGGAGGCTGAGGCAGGAGGATTGCTGTGAGTTTGCGGCCAGCCTGAGCTACGATAATGAGTTCAAGTACAGCCTGAACTATGTAGCAAAACCCTGCTCAAAAAAGAAAAAAAAAGTACAAAATAAAAAAAGAAAGAAAAGAAATCCACTGTATAAGAAATCCACCAGAGATACAAGGCTCAGTGAAGGAGTTTTCCTTCTCCCTGTAATATGTGACAGAGGGTGCAGTGGATCCAGTGCCATTTTTATTTTAAAAAGTTTGTTTTCTGGTCATAATTTTTCTATAACTTTAACAAAAAACCCAAACTTTTATTCAGGGAGGCTCTGACCTGAGAGAGAGGTAAAGACCTTTTAAAACTCATCCTGTTTTTGGTTTCTCCCCTTAATATTCTGATTTGGTTATTTCCAGCACATGGCACTTTCTTAGGTCACATTCGGTTGGAACCTCACAAGCCTCAGCAAATTCCCATCGACTCCACGGTCTCATTTGGTGCATCCACAAGGGCGTACACTCTCCGTGAGAAGCCTCAGACACTGCCATCAGCTGTGAAAGGAGATGAGAAGATGGGTGGAGAAGATGATGAACTCAAGGGCTTATTGGGGCTTCCAGAGGAGGAAACTGAGCTCGATGTAATTCTATGTCTATGTCATTGTTTTGTCTTTGGGGAAGCTGGTCCTTGTAGTGTGTTGCTGTTTTGTGTAGCTTGAAATGCCAAGAGGTTCTCTTGAGCCCAGTAATGAACCTTATGGCCAGCTATGCCTCCCTGCCACTAGAACGTTTTACTGGCTATTTAGAAGCCAAGGGTGGAAATTAACATTTTTCTGTCCTTATGACAGCTTAGAGCTATGTTGTCCAAATCAGTACCCATTAACCACATTTTAACTACTACTGTGTTCAGTAGTCACATGTAACTTGTAGATTCCATGTTGGATAGCACAAAGAAGAGAATACAGGCAGCCGTGCAGATCAGCATGTTCTGTATTCTCCAATTCAACCAACAGCAGATTGGAGATATTCGGGGAGAAAAAAATTACATTTATACAGAACACATACAGACTTTTTTGTCATTATGCCCTTAACTGTACAATGTAACAAATATTTACATAGCATTTACATTGTACCAGTTATTAGAATTTAGAGAGAATTTAAAGTATATGGGATGATGTTTATAGGTTATATACATTTTACTTGAGGAACTTGAGCATCTTCATGTTTTGATATCCACAGGGAGTTCTGGAGCTGGTCCCCCTCAGGTGCTCAGGGAAGACTGCATTTGCACCAGTGCAGAAAACTCTGTTGGACAGCCAGCAAGACACTTGCAATCTTGTAGCTTTTTTGGTGCTGTCCAAACACCGGTAGTCTTCTAAATAGAACCAAACTGCTTCTAGATTGTTTTTGTTCAAATATATTTACTATTCCTCTATACCAAGACCACTTCCTAGCATTTAGGAAGAAAAGCACAATAGAAATCTTACAGTGTAGAATTCATTTTGTTCTTGGGCCAGGAATGTAGCTCAGCAAGCAAGGTAGCTTGGCAAGTGTGAGGCCTTGAGTTCGATTCCCAGTACCAAAAAAAAATCATTTTGTTCTGAAGAAGTGGCCTCATATTTAGGGATCTTCCTCCTCTTTTTTTTTTTTTTTTGTGGTACTGGGGATCAAACTCAGGACCTTGGACTTGTGAGGCAGGCATGGTGCCACTGGGCTAAATCCCTGGCCCATATTTAGGGATCTTGTCTCTCCCCTCTAAGCTGCTTCCATGCTTCCCTGTCTTTTAGTTCAGTATGTTAGATCTTCTGGGTCTTCGTTCTGAGACATTCCAAAAGTCTCAAACTGCAATGCCAATTGAAATAAATTGAACAGATTGGGAAGAGGCAGGCAGCAGTATTAAGGCTGGGTTAATCATGGAGATAGATTGACGGTTATGAATAGAACTGAGGCCAGATATATGAAGGGAAATGACAAAAGATTAATGTTAAAAATAAGTGCATTTGGGTCGGGGATTTAGCTCAGTGCTTCCGCCACCTGCCTTGCAAGCACAAGGTCCCAAGTTTGATCCCTGGTACCAAAAAAAAAAAAGATTAAATAAATGAGAGTTCTAAAAGAGAAAAAAGTTGCACTGGCAATGACCTTAACAGTTATAAAGGAGAGAGTTCCTGAGAAAGAAGCAGCTAGTTGACCTTTTTCATCTCATTTAAAAGAATTCTTGGATTTCCTCCCTGTTACATTTCCTTTAATTCTTACATGAATGCATATAGTGTTCCTTCAAAAACAAACAGAGCCGGGAATTTAGCTCAGTGGTTCTGGTGCCTGCCTCGCAAGCGCAAGGTCCCAAGTTCGATCCCTGGTACCCAAAAAACAACCCCCCCCTAAAAAAAAAAAAAAAAAAAACAACCACCACAACAAAAGCAACAGTACCTCAACTCCAGGCTGTTTGCCCAGGTGAGCTATTCTCACTCAAGGCCCTTTACCTTCTTTTGAATAGCACTCCTTCACTGGTCTGTGAAGATGTTCCATGTTCTTTTGAGTGAGACTTATTAGTGTTACCAATCTAAGAATAATATGAATCTCTCTAAATGCAGAAGAACTTCATCTGCCTTGCAGGCCAGAGTAAGCTCCTAATGCTTCCTGCCATTTATTTAGTAGTGTGTTCTTCATCAAATTCCCTGTGTACTGACCTCTGTCTTTCCTGTGTGAACCCTGGCCTAGAACCTGACAGAGTTTAACACTGCCCACAACAAGCGGATTTCTACCCTCACCATTGAGGAGGGAAATCTGGACATTCAGAGACCAAAGAGGAAGCGGAAGAACTCACGGGTGACTTTCAGTGAGGATGATGAGATCATCAATCCAGGTGAGATCTCTTCCTGGTTTCTTCTGATGAAAAAGTTATTATCTCGGAGTAGTGTGTGCAGCCTACAGGTCACTTGGAGTGTTTCTCAGCAAATGTTCAGATGGGAGAGGGGGCATTCATTTGAGGGGGGATACTTGTACAGTTCATCCACAGAGTACCCTTAACACTGAAGCATTATCCAGTTACAATGCAAAAGAGAAGGCTGAAAGAAAGCTCTGGGTTTACAAAGCAAGGTAGTGATTCTCCTCTGCTGACCCAGTATGTCTGTGTCATAGTGGAAGATTAAAGTTTAAGTATCTTCACCTTAAAAGAGAACATTGTCTTTATAGGGTTTTGACTATAGGACTGATAACTCCAAGGGTGGAGCACCTTCCTGCAACCACTAATCTCATTGAAGACTTGCCTTGCTTACAAATAAGTTTGGGAATGTCTGCAGGATAAGAGCATCCGTTTATAGGGCAGGCCACTAAATTTGCCACCTGTTGCATCAGTCAAGATTTACTGCCTGGTGTGGTGGCAAACACCTGTAATCCTAGCACTCAGGAGACTGAGGCAGGGGTATCACCATGAGTTCAAGGCCAGCTTGGGCTCCATAGTGAGTCCAAGGCCAGCCTGAACCACATAGTGAGACCCTATGTCCAATAGTCAACAATAAAAAAAGATTTTTTGGGCCAGGGATTTAACTCAGTGGTTCCGGCGCCTGCTTCACAAGCAAGCACAAGGTTCTGAGTTTGATCCCCAGTACCCCCCCAAAAAAATTTATTTACCAAGCTCATATTAAATCACAAGTGTGCTGGGAGATGGATGCGCGGAAGGTACGTGTAATTTATACAGTGATAGAATTCAAGAATTTTTAAAAAATAACTATGTTTGAGGGCCAGGGATTTAGCTCAGTGGTTTTGGCATCTGCCTCACAAGCGCAAGGTCCTGAGTTTGATCCCCAATACCAAAAAAATAAATAACTATGCTCGACAATAAATTTCAGTGGATGGAAATAATTGTTTCCCAAATTGAAATGCTAAACAACTTGTAAATCCTGAATTTAGGTTCAAAATCTCAATTATTTAAATGGAGATCTGCTCCACTGACAGACTATGGAAAGAAAAGACCTAGGGATTTTAGTTAATTGAAAATACGTTCTGAGTCATCAGGGGATGTAGAAACTAATCAAGTGCAATTCAAGTTTTAATTCATAGAAGACTGGTGGGGACAGTCACCCTACCAGTGTGTGTTCTGACCGGAACTCCCCACTTGCATTGCATAGTCCTGAGGGGAGTGAAGGCTCACAGCCATAGAAGACAAACCCCTGGGTGCTGGGGAGGCAAGGGAACCATGCTTGGGGAAAGAAGGGGGAAACATGGCCACGGTGGGCAGGAAGAAGAGAGCCAAAACCAGAGCCAGAAGGTACCAAGTGTATTACTCAGCATTTAAAAAAAAAAGTAGAAACTAACAAATCTCTGGCCTATATTTAGAAGAAGACTGAAAAAGATTCCTGTGAAAGAGATCAGGGCATTCATTCTACTGACTTACAAGTTCACTTTCTGATGGTGTGTGAGGTGGAATGGATTCCTTCTCAAACTAGTGAGTGCCCAAGGGAAGTTGTTCAGGCAGGGACTAGATGACCAGAGTTTCCATAAACTGGATCTTTTCCCCCCACTCCTAGTACTGAGGGACTGAAGCCACGGGCACATGATCATTAGCTACATCCTACCCATTTGAGACCAAGTTGCTCAGCCTGGCCTTGAGTTTGTGATCCTCCTGCTTCAGCTTCCTGAATGGCTAGGATTACAGAATTGTAGCTGGGATTATAGGTGTATGCCACTGTGCCTCACTTTAATTTTGTAATTTTTTTTTAATAAAAATAATTTAAAGCACAAACTGACATTTATTTCTAGTGTGCTTTTTTTTTCGGTACCAGGGATCGAATTTGGGACCTTGCGCTTGCAAGGCAGGTGATGGAACCACTGAGCTAAATCCCCAGCCCTAATTTTGTTTTTGTTTTTTTTGGTACCAGGGATCAAACTCGTCCTTGCACTTGTGCAGCAGGCAGCGAAACCACTGAGCTAAATCCCCGGCCCAAATTTTGTATTTTTAAGCAAGTTCCTGTATATTGATAAATAGCCAGGAGTTTTGAGTACTACTAGACTAGATAATCTCATACTCTCTTTCAGGAAGCAGGATCTGATTTGCTGGTTTTCTCTTCTTGAAAATGATGCCCTAGGGCTTTATTAAAGCAGTGTGTTCAGGCAAGATAGCATAGTGGTTAAGAGCAAGGGATTTGAAATCAGGAAGTCTGAATGATGTCCTTCCCCCTTTCCACTTAGTAGCTCTTTTTGCTTGACCAAGTGACTTAGCAGACTGCTGACTTCACAGGGCTGGCAGAAAGATTAAATGAGTTAATGTATGCAAAAATGCTTAAGATTAGTGTTCATTACTCAGTGAGCCCTTAAAAGTTGTTAGCCAGTATCACCATCTTATCTGCCTCATCCATGCAACCATTCCTGCACCAGAGAGAGTTAGCAAGGAGTTAGGGTTGGGTCTTTAGGAGCACAGATATCCTAGACCCATATATCCTTTCTCTTTAAGACTAGAATGTTGAGCGAGAAGGCGCAGAGGGTGTGGGCCCCCGGAGCAACTTAGCTCTGCTGCACAAAAGGGGGATGTCGCCCACTCCACTGGGGCCCCATTTCCCCTGTGCTTCATTTAACCTTCATCGCCCTTGCTGGAATGTGGTTGGAACAGTGTTTCTGAGAGGTGAGAGAAAAGATTGTGCCTTTTGAGAAACAGTATCTTTTTCCTAATGACCTGAGGTATCCATGTCATTAGGATATCCAGCCATTCAGTGAACAAAGATTGGTATACCTAGGTATAATCTTCAGGGGCATCTTAATATGTGAAAAGCTAGACTTACATAAACCAGGAACTAATTATTCAAATTAAAGATTTCATAGGAGTGCTTTTTTCAATAGCAAGCAACTTCAGTACATTCAAAACTATTTAACAAGTATTAGGGAACAAGGTTTCTCGTCTACCACAATATAAACTAAAGGAGGCTTGGAGTAGTTTTCCGTAGTAGTGATGAAAGGTCTGTTTCTGCCATTTCCACATGCTCAGCCTTTGGAGAGGAGACTATCCTAAGAGCACAGCCCATCCACCCCTTGATGCTCCAGGAATGCCATTTTCTTCTTTATTCCTTTTTTTTTTTTTGGTTCTGGGGATCGAACTCAGGACCTTGCGCTTGTGAGGCACACGGCAGAACCACTGAGCTAAATCCCCAGGCCCCTTTCTTCTTGATGTGCTTCTGTGTTTGTGACCTATCTGTCTCTGTTTCTGTGAACTCCTGAAAGACAGTGCAGTATCTTGCTCTTTATTTCCATGCCTTATGACCAGTGCATGAGGCTTGAGAGAGTGCTGTCTCCCTCCAGAATGAATGAACCCAGAGCTTTGTAGGGTACAGTGATATGTAAGTAAGCTGTGAAGAAGGAGCTGCTCTCTCACCCTCCCTAGGCAAGGAGGTCAGATCTTTGATTGTAAAAGCCTTGATTGTAAGCCAGATGTGGTGGTGCACACCTATAATCTCAGCACTGGTAGGCTGAGGCAGAAGGATCATAAGTTCAAATGCAGCCTGGGCAACTTTGTGACACCTCTGCCTCAAAATTTTAAAAAGTTGTGCCAGGCATGATAGCGGTAGCATGCACCTGTAATCCCAGCACTAGGGAGGCTGAGGCAGGAGGATTGTGGAGAGTTCGAGACGAGCCTGAACTACATATTGAGGCCCTGTCTCAAAAAAATTTTTGATTATATACATTTTAAAGCAGGGCACAATGGTGCACACCTGTAATTTCAGTTGCTGGGGATGTTGAGGAAGGAGGATATCAAGTTCAAGGCCAGCATGGGCAACTTAATGAGACTACATCTCAGAATAAAACAAAAAATATATAGTTAAGTTATTCAGGTCAAAAGGCCAGAGTAAGTTTAAAGCCCTGGGTTTGAGTCTTAAATCTGTTCTTTGCCAATAAACAGGTATTAGCAAGATGTAAAATATGTGACCTCTTGTCATTGTTTTATCAATAATGTGAGATTGGTAATTTTTAAACACCCCCCACCCCCACCCCAAGAGGAAATGTGTGGAATGGGAAAGAACATTGGGAAGGCAGCACAGTACTGTGGTCTGGAGTGCAGGCCTGTCTGGCTACTAGGACTCAATTCCTAGCTCCTGCTCTCCATCAGATGATTGGGCCTGTCTCTACTCTCCAAGCTGCAGCCTGTTTTCTGTCTATCTAATGTTGATTGCAGTAGAACTTAATCTTGTGGGGTTGTTGAGAGCATTTAGTACAGTGCCCAGTACTTGGTAAACATTTTCGGGGTTGGGTTTATTATTGGAATATGAGTCATTGTGTGTGTCTGGTTTTCAGTGAGCCCTGTACCCTTACTCCTCCAAATAGAGTACCAATCCAACTGTACCCTCATCTTTTTTTGCAGAGGATGTGGATCCCTCTGTTGGTCGCTTCCGGAACATGGTCCAAACTGCAGTGGTCCCAGTCAAGGTAGGAAGTACATTTTAACAGTATTTAAAATGCTGGGTTCAAAACCCAATTAGGGGTAGAGGTGTAGTTCAGTGGTAGAGTATGTGCTCAGCATGTGTGAGGCCCTCAGTTTGATCTCTGGCACCCCAAAATATAAACACCACCAACAGCATAACTACATTTTGGTGTATTTGGGTAGGTATTAAGTGAGTGCATAATTTTTTGTACCGGAGATCGAACTCAGGACCTTGTGCTTGCAAGGCAGCCACCAGAACCACTGAGCTAAATCCCCAGCCCATGAGTGCATAATTTTAAAACACATTCTGTGCTCCTCTCCATTTTTCATCTATGGAAACTGTTACTCTCCACCCCCTCATGTCTAGTGAATCCTGGAGTAGCACAGAAAGGCTTCAGGTGACCAACCAGCTTGATACAACATGTAAATTATGTGCTATGTAAATCTGTAAGTTTACCTTCCAGAAGAGTGCAGAAAGAGGCCCACCTTCCCTTCCTTTGGTCTTTTCCTTTTGACTCAAAATAAGCATCTAGGTGAGGGAGAAGCATGTGCAGCACTGCACATCTGTGGCTTTTGCCAAGCCATTATTTTGTGAACTGGAAAGGTACAGTTAGGAATGTCAGACTGGATCTAGATTAGATTTAAAGATAAGGTATGTTAGAGAACCAAGAAGTGGAAGTTACAGAGACACTCTTATTCCCAGCATGTGAAGGAACTTCCTGATGGGTGGAACTATCCAAAAGGGAACAAACTGCCCCTGGACATATAAGATCATAGTAAATCCCTGTTAATTACAGTATCCAGAAGTGACTGGAAACCAATACTGGCTGTAGTGGTGGCATTCAGGAAGCTAAGCCAGGAGGATTGGGAGTTTGAAGCCAGCCAGAGAGAAACCCTGTCTCCCCCCGCCGCCCCTCCCCCCAAAAAAGATTAGTTGAGCATGATTAGAGATGTTATAGGGAGTTTTAGTTTTAAGAAGTCTTTAGAATGATTTCATCCTTGATATCCATGAGGAATTGGTTCTGGGACCCCTTTGAATACCAGAGTCTATGGATGCTCCAGTCACCTATGTAAAATGGTGTAGTATTTGCATATAACCTCCACTTGTCCTCCAGTATACTTTAAATCATCTCTAGATTGCTAATAATACCTAATACAATGTAGATGCTATGTAAATAGTTGCTATGAGATTGATGGCAAGAAAAAAAGTCTGTACAGGGCCGGGGATTTAGCTCAGTGGTTTCACTGCCTGCTGTGCAAGCACAAGGACCCGAGTTCGATCCCCAGTACAAAAAAAAAAAAAAAAGAATCCGTACATATTTAGTGTAATTTTTTTCCAAATATTTATCTTCAATTGATTGAGTTCAAATTTGGAACCCATGTATATTAGAGTGAACTGACAAGATAAGTCAGAGTTCCTGCTTCATCTTTATTTAGTCAAACAGTAAAGGGTGAGAAGCATCTTTTATGAGCTCTAGTGCAGTATGAGAAGGTAGATTTATTTTTGCCTGCAGGGTGCCATAATATGTCACATTTCCCCCTGAGCTCTGTCTCCTTGTTCTTCCTTTGTAATCTGTTATTAAAGTACAAAGTCATGGGCCGGGGATTTAGCTCAGTGGTTCCGGTGCCTGCCTCAAAAGCGCAAGGTCCCGAGTTCAATCCCCGGTACCAAAATCAATCAATCAAAAGCTCAAATGTACAAAGTCAGGAGATAGCTTTGTCTTTTTTTTTTTTTTTTTTTTGGTACTGAGGATCGAACTCGGGACCTTGCGCTTGCGAGGCAGGCGCCGGAACCACTGAGCTAAATCCCCGGCCCAGCTTTGTTTTTTTTTCCCTTTGGTATAGTACTGAGACCTCATGCATGGTACACAATTGCTGTACCACTGAGCTAAATCCTCAGCCCTTTTAAATTTTTATTCTGGGACAGAGACTCTTAAATTACCCTGGCTGGCCTTGAACTTGAGATCTCTCTGCCTAAGCCTTCTGAGTGGCTTGGATTACAGGCATACACCACTACCACAGTTTTATTGTGATATAATTTATATACAATAAAATGCAAATGTTTAAGTGTATGGTTTGAGTTTTCATATGTGGATACACCTGGGGCATGGTGACTCACACCTGTGACACTGTGAGTTCAAGGCCAGCCTGGGCTACATAGTGACTTCAAGGCTAACATGGACTACATAACAAAACCCTGTTTCAAAAATAAAGCAAAACAAAACATATGGCTACACCTGTGTAATCACTATTATAATCAGGATATAGATTATATCTCTTTGAAGGAACCTCAGAAAGTTCCCTCATGTTCCATTGCAACCAATTTCCTCCAGTTCCGCCCCGGACCACTAGCAAACTACTGTCTTCACCACAGATTTGCTTTGCTCTCAGATTAATGTTTAGAAATTGGAAATGGAGCCAGGACTGGTCACACATGCCTAAACCCCATCTTCTCAGGAGGCTGAGGCAGGGGAATGCAAGTTTGAGTCCAGCCTGGGCTACTTAGCATGACTGTATCAAAATAAAGAAGTAAAAAGATCTTGGGAAGCCATTTGGCACTCCCTCTTTCAATCCCCAGTACTGCAAAAATAAAATAATAATGAGAAGAATTGGAGCCAGATGTGCTGGTGCATGCCTGTAATCACAGCTACTTGGGAGGCTAAGGTGGAAGGATCATAAATTTGAGTCTGCCTTAGGTAACATAGTGAGATCTTATCTCAGAAAAAGAAGTAAATAAAAATTGGGCATCCAGCTTTTGGGGGTAGAGTTACACTCCAACAGTCCCAGGAACTTAGAAAAGGGTCACTTGGGCCCAGGAGTTCAAAGCTGTAGTGTGCTGTGCACTAAGTTGGCATCAACACAGTGGCTTTCCAGGAGTGGAGGACCACCAGTTGCCTAAGGAAGGTAAACTAACCCTGATCAAAGGTCAGAACTCTGGAATAGCCACTGTAGTCCAGCCTCAACAATGTAGCAAGACCTTATCTTTTATATTAAAAAAAAAAGTTGGGTGTGTAGCTCAGTGGTAGGATGCTTTCCTGGCATGCACAGGGCCCTAGGTTCAGTCCCTAGCTCCAAAGAGAATCAGGTGCACAACATGGAAGTTTCAACTTTCTATATTCTCCCTCAAAATGAAAATAGCTGAAATATCACTTGTTTCTTAAATCATTGTGAGAGAGAGAAGTATGATCCAAGATGTAAAGAATAGCCATTTCAATTCCATAAATTTTACTTTATGTAGAGCTCAGAATACTGTCTTCATTTTTCTCATTTGACATAGAATGGTTAAAAACTTTATGGGAGTCAGTGTAATTTTCAGACCTCAGATTTCAGGACTGTGCAGTGGGTTGTCTGGGGAAAAGAACGGACTAGAAGATGAAGATCCTTCCCAAAGGCTATTTTTCTAAGACTAGGATGGAAAACAGAAACAAAAAAACTGCTCTTGTGCTTCCTCTTATCTCCTCTCCCTCTCTCCCCTGCCCTGGCAAACCACAGAAGAAGAGGGTGGAAGGCCCTGGCTCCCTGGGCCTGGAGGAATCAGGGAGCAGGCGCATACAGAACTTTGCCTTCAGTGGAGGACTCTACGGGGGCCTGCCCCCCACGCACAGTGAAGCGGGCTCCCAGCCACATGGCATCCACGGGACAGCACTCATCGGTGGCTTGCCCATGCCGTACCCGAACCTTGCCCCTGATGTGGACTTGACTCCTGTCGTGCCATCAGCAGTGAACATGAACCCCACACCAAACCCTGCAGTCTATAACCCTGAAGCTGTTAATGAACCCAAGAAGAAGAAATATGCAAAAGAGGCTTGGCCGGGCAAGAAGCCCACACCTTCCTTACTGATTTGATATTTTTGGTCATGGAGAAGGGTGGGATTGGGTGGGAGTGGGGTGGAAGGGTGATGAGGGAGCTAATGTACTAGGGAGAAAAACTTTCCACGTGTGCAGTATCTCTTTCAGAATGTCTCCTGGGGTCCTGACCATGTATATTAGACTGGGGTGGGCTGAAATACCCCATGAAGCTGTCTTCACAACACTGCTGGTGTAGAGAAAGATTTTGTAGGTTGTTTTAAGTAGACTGCTCTGGTTCTTTCCCAGCCTTCCATTGCCTCCTTCGTCCTTCTCCCTCTCTTTAGTATTTTTATGTGACGTTGCATAGCCCAGGTAGGATCCAGAGCTGTGGAGGTGGCAGTAGCCTCACCAGTCCTGGGGATCCAGCAACCTCATTTACATTTACTATCCTTGTAAATCTCATGGATCCCAGGTTGATCAAAAAGGGTTAGCATTCTAAAGTTAAGCTAAGGTTTAAACCCCAAAATGTTTTCTTGAGTCAGTGGTTTTTTGTTTGGTTGGGTTTTCTTTTTCTTTTCTTTTTTTGGTACCAGGGATCAAACTCAGGACCTTGTGTTTGCGAGGCAGGTGCAGTGCCACTGAGCTACATCCCTGGCCCAAATCAGTGGTTTTGAGGTCCAATAGTTAGGCTTTTCTTTTGTCCTTTCTGTTGGAATGAGAACACTTTGATTTCCCTTTGTCTATGACCAGTGCAGGTTTATAAAAGTTTTTAACTTGCAGTATTGTTTTAACTTTACCTGTTTTCTTGTCAAACTTGAGCACTTCATTTACCTAAGTTTCTTTCTCATTTAGTTCTAAAGTACTGTCCTCTCCTCTCTAAGCCATTACTTTCCTTTTTCAGTGTGTTATGAAGGCAATTTTTTTTTCAGGATATGACCAATTAGGGCGATTCAAATTAAAAAGAAAATATTTTACTTTGCAAGCAATTGATGTCTCTCAGAGGACATTTTTACCTGTTGGTTTGGAGGCTCTTCCCCCTCAGTTGAGAGCTTTGCTTCCTCAGAGCTCCAAGAGAAGACCTGGCTGACAAACAGGAGACCGAGGTAGGAAACATTGATACGAGCTTTGTACAGAGATTTGTACATTTGTGTAATAGGGCTTTTCATGCTTTATGTGTAGCTTTTTACCTGTAGCCTTTATTACATTGTAAATTAAATGTAACTTTTGTCATTCTGGTGCAGTCTTGAGTTCGTCGTCACCATCACTGATCATCAGGGAACTTTGTCAGACTCATGGCCATCGATCTTGGAGGTGATGCTTTATCCCCATTTTATTACCACAAAATGATGGCCCCTGATAAGTGTGGTAATTCTGATTAGAGGTTTTAGTCCCCAGATTGAGGCCTCACAAAGCAATGTGGGTTAAAAGGCACTTGTTGCCCCTATCAGAAGACAGAACAGGGAGGGGTCTCATAAGAAGACTGGGCATCAGGCATTTGCCTGGGGTAAGCCTAGTTTAAGCCTGGTCACCCACTCATATTTGTGCAGTACCACTCAGTGGCACAGGAGCAAAAGGAAATTGAAGTTGAGAGAATTTAGAGGGGCTTTCAGCAGGAGTTCTCATGGAATGATTGTGTCCTGCTTCCTTGACTTATCTGCAGTAAGAGCATCTTGGGGCAAGATACATGTGGATTCGTGATGAAGATGCCAGCTAAGCTCTAATCTCTGGTGGTGTGAGTGTTTGGACTTGAAGCAGGAGTAGACTTCTAAAAAGCAGATCCATGACATCACAGCTTTACAAAAGTTGACTTCACAGGCTCTGTAAAGACGAGGGTCCTCATCTTAGGAGGCTGTTACCTTCCTCTCACTGGAGTGAACAGTCAGCTACCACATAGCCACACAGCATGCCGTTTCAGTCTCATAGCCCATTTTTATGCACAAATAGGCTCAGATACAAAATAGCTTCACTGTGAAACTCTCCTGAATCTAGGGCCCATATGCTGACTTACTTGGTCTCCAGTCAGGTAAGATGAGAGATCTTGGCCTGTGGCTGGCACTGCATTAGGCTCATCTGTGGCTAGATTTTCTCCTGTTTGTTTTGGAGTTAAGAAATAACCCAAACTGAACAACATATCAGAAGTAATACAGTATCCTAAAGGGTTTAGATTTAGTTTAGGTAAAATACAACCTTTCTGGTGAGGAACTATGCCATGCATTTTTGGTGTCAGAATTTGCATTGGAAGCTGGGCCGACTGGCACATGCCTTTAATCCCAGTGCTCAGGAGGCCAAGGCAAGAGGATCACTGAGTTTGAGGGCAGCCTAAACTATAAGTCCCAACTTGCGAGGATATTTATCTCACTTCTAGGATCCAGCTAACCTCAGCATTGTGGCAGGAAGCTGTGATCCTAGCTCCTTGGGAGCTTGAGGCAGGAGGATCACAAGTTCAAGGCCCATCCGGGCAATTTAGTGAGATATTGATTCAAAAATAAAGGGCCAGGAATTTAGCTCAATGGTTTCGCTGCCTGCTGCGCAAGCGCAAGGACCTGAGTTCAATCCCCGGTCCAAAAAAAAAGTAAAAAGAGTTATGGGTGTAGCTTAATGGTAGAACTCTGCTAGCATGTACAAGCCTCTGGGTTCAATCCCCAGCACCACAAAAGGACTCGGTATACTTAAGTTCAAGCATGACTGGCTGCACTTTGTAGTTACAGGGAATAAGGAGACAAGTATTTGTGTAGATCTGGCTTAACTGGTGCCTTGTTTCTGACTTAATTCAAACCATAGTGCCCCTTAAAGCTAAGTACCCCAAAGAGCACCCCAGGAGAGGGCTCAGTCACCAACCTTGTCTAGCTCTGCATGACAGCCATAGCTCAGCCCCTCCTGCTCACTACCAGGATTGGCAAATGATCTCTTGCATGTGGGCATGATGCTGCTAGGGAACATGGCCTATTGCAGGGGAACACAGGCCCACCATGGATGAGAAGTGACTTGGTTTCCCCAGAGTTCCATGTATACTAGCAGGTCATCTGCCAAGGAAGGAAGCCCTGCTCCATCTTCTCTCCCCAGGGCAGAAGAAGCCTGGGGAGGGCACCCTCAGCTCCCCACTCAGGATCAGCTGTGTGATGACTGCTGGCCTAAAACATGCTCATCGTGTGAAAATCATAGACTTCTAGGGTGAGAAGAGACTCGGGACATCCTGTCCAGTCCTCTCATTTGTGGATGGGCCAACCTTGGTAATGAGTTTCATTCAGCTGCAATGGATTAACATGCGGATGAGTAACCCCCCTTTCCGCAAGGGGCTCACCTTCTGGAAGGAAGCGGCTCTGCACGCTGACGATACTGAGGCTTCTAGTGGAGGGATGGATAGCCCCTGACCTAGACTTGAGGGTCAGGGAGGCTTCTGGGGGACTGACATAAGCTGAGCTGAGCACTAAAAGACAAGAAAGAACTTCGTATCTGAGGAGTGTGGACCAAAGTTTTCCAGGTAAAGGGCTTGGTATGGAGATGGCAGGCAGCTGGGAGGGGGCAGAGGTCCACTCTGTATTTCTTCCTGGGTAATTTGAAAGTACTAGGAAGGATTTTTACACACACAAAGACACACTTGGGTATGTATTTTGGAAAATCCAGAAAAACATGCACATACACCTTCCTCACCCAGAGTTGGAGGTTTCCTTGAAGCGTGACTGGTCAGATTCAGATGCTAGAAAACAGCCCTGGAGAAAAAAGAAGAAAAGGAGAGAAAAGAAAATGCTCCTGGAGGGGAAAAAGAAAATGCCCCTGGAAGGGGAGAGGGTTGTAGAAACCTGCTGAGCAGCTACATATGATGGCTCCAAATGGTGGAAAGGAGTCTACCAAGCAGAAGCAAAGATGGGGTGGAGTGGATTGAAGCCCTTGGCATGTGACAGGGTGGTGCAAAGTCCTTGGATGTCTGCAGAGTTCTCTTTCTGGAGGGAATCTTTGCTTCTGCTGAGGCTTCCAGCTTTGCAGAGGCAGAAATGGAGTTCCAGAATCTGCCAGCAGGTGGGGCCTTGGGCCCAACCTTGGAGCCAGGATGGTAACGAAGGGGACTCCCAGGGCTGCAGGCCAGGAGAAAGGGAAGGAAAAGAATCTGACTCATTGGGCCTGGGCCCTTTCTGGGCGTTATCTTTCTCAATTTCCCCAAAAGTCTTGAGAAGAAGTGTTTAGTGTCCCTGTTTTACAGACAGAGAACTTGTGGCTCATACCACAAGATGAAGCTCATAGCAGACATATGGTAAAGCAGGATTCAAACATGGCCCTCATCTATGGGACCATGAACAGCACCTGGCAGCCCCTGTTTCTGGACACTGCCCTGCCTGTTCCTGAAGTTGGAGAAAGACTGGATTTTGGTCCATTTCTGGTTTTTCTCTCACTTGATTTCCTAGCCCCTCTGTCTCCATCTCTGGTCCCTTTTGTGGTACGTAGGGCTTCAAGTACTGAACCTGCACACCTACGAAATGTGAAAGACAGCTGTCAGAAGAGAACACTGCCTGCCTGCCTCAGCCTCACCACACCCCACTGCCCTCATTCCTGCACTGCAGCTCTGTGGAGCCTGCCTTCTCACCTGCTGGAGTTCTTCCCACCTGCTCTCACTGTCCCCGCTTGCCTGTCATCTAGCCCATTCAGAGCACTTAAAATGGGCCACAATTGTTCTCACAGAAGGAAAACAAAGCAGAAAACCTCTCTTAACTCTGTCCTCCCACTGGCTACCTGAGCTTCCTCCTTATTTCTCTGCTCTAATTGCTGTCTCCAGTTCCTTTTCCTCTATTTCCTGCTAAATCCACTCTAGTCAGGCTCAGCCCCAACATGCTATTAAATCTGCCTAGCCAGGGCTGGGATTTAGCTCAGTGGCACCGTGCCTGCCTTGCAAGTGCAAGGTCCTGAGTTCAATCCCCAGTACCAAAAAGAAAAACAAAAACAAAAACCAAAAAAACTGCCTAGCCAGGCAAGGTGGCACACACCCATGATCCCAGCTACTCTGGAGGCTGAGGCAGGAGGATTGCAAGTTGAAGGCCAACCTGGACAACTTAGTAAGATCCTGTTTTAAAATAAAATGAAAGGGCTAGATGTGGCTCACTAATCCTCTGAGTCCTATCCGTACTACTGAAAAAGAAAAACCAATAACAAAAATACCTATGCCTACTAATGACCTGTCAATTCCGTTCACTTCTGAAGGCCCTGAGTCTCCCTCAGTGAGAGCCAGCCGTCTCAACATGCTCCATTACCTCTCTGTGCTCCTCTCCCCGGTCTCTTTCCTGTAGCTCCCTGGGGTTCAGCGGTGTTCCACACCTCTCCTGCCCCTGTGGCTGGGCCTCTCCTCAGCCCGATGTCAGCACATCTCCCTTACCCCTGCTTCCATGTGAGAAGAAAAGCAAGGCCACGCCCTGGGAGCCAGCCTGGTGCTCTGCTGGTTCTAGTGTCACTGCACTGCATGAACAGAAGCCACAGACACCAGCGTCAGACGGAGCCTCTGTGCCCATGATAGATCAGGACACAAACAGAAGCTCTCTCTCTCATCTGAACGCAGACTAAACATGAGCACTGCCCAAGCCATGACACGGACCAAGCATCCCAGTAGTGTTCTGCCCCATGGCCCCCAAAGATATGTCCACCCAGAACCTCAGAACAGGAGCTTGTTTGGGATCAGGGTGTTTGCAGAGGTAATTAAGGCAAGGACCTCAGGATGAGATCCCGTACATGAGAGCGGGCCCTAAATCCAAAGAACCCAGAGACAGAGGAAAACCATGTGAGGATGGAGGCAGAGACTCGAGTGAGGCGTCTGCAACCCAAGAAATGTTGAGGATTGCTGGCAGCCACCAGAAGCAAGGAGGGAGGCAGGGAGCAGACGAATTCTCCCTCAGAATGTCAGAAGGAGCTTATCTCCAGAACTGTGAGAAGATACATTTCTGTTGTTTTAAGCCACTGACTTATAGTCATTTGTTACAGCAGCCCTTTGGAAAGTAATACGGTTGTCCTATCCTGGCCGGTAAGCGATAGCTTCTAGGCTATAGCTCTGAGGTAGTGTTCTTGCCTACCATAGGATGTCCTGGGTTTAAATCCTACCACTGCAGAGAGAGAGAGAGAGAGACAGACAGACAGACAGACAGACAGACAGACAGACAGAGACAGTGATTTCTTACAAATGAGGGTGTTAGCCTTGGTCCAGTTTTCCCTTTATCTAGGTAAAATTTATTCAGATATTCAGAATTACTCCTG